CTAGTTTCCATTTCCCTTCTCCACAGTTTTTCTCTTAACCCTCCTTTTCTTTCACTTACTCATACAAAGAATAATCTATACGTGATCGACTTTTCCGAGTTATATTCCGAGACCTCAATATAAAACGCCAGAGAGATCATGCAAACTATGTATATGTTTGGAGCATCATTTGTAGAAATAATTTATCATTAAGTAAAGCAACCATCCTTTATCAAACATTTGCAAAAGAAGCTAGGACTGAGGACTACTAGTTAACTCATTAATTAAAATTCATAATATAAGAAGAGGCAAAAAACAACGATCGAAAATAAGAACGATTCAAGAATTTTATTTGACAAAAAAAGAAGGCCTATGGACCTTCTGAATAGAAGGCCCCTGAATAGCCCAAATATTTTTTGAGCTTCGTTTTTGAGCTTTTCTGTTTTTTGTTTTAATTTATACTGCTATAAGAAGGAATAAGGAAACGATTTGTATAAAGTAACAAATAAATGAAAAGTTTAAAAGCAAAAATTGTTGTTTTATCTTCTATAATATTGCTAATCAGTATATTATGGAGAATTTTTTTGATGTTTGACATAAATAGTTATGACAAAGGTGTTGTTTGATTGATAAAGGATTTATTCTTCGTATATGTTATAAGGCAATTATCAGAGAATATCATGGGTATGTTCATTTACTACACCTCTATACCATATTAGACTAGTAAAATCAATCATTAGATTGGTTATTATTGTTGTTACTAGGGAATGTTTGATTGGAATTTGATTAAGATTAAGTTTAGTAGAGATCTAATAAGATAGATAATAGCACTAAGAGATCTAATAAGATAGATAATAGCACTAAGTTGAATTGAATTGAAGCGCACCGTTAATCCAGTAATTTGTCTGTATCAATGAAGATAGCCATTCTTTACATAATGAAAGTTTGTTTATAACATTCCGAACATTGCGCATAAGTTTGCTTGTCAGATCAATGATCGGTGTTCGACAAATGATTCACACTATAAGCATCAAAGCAGTTATTTTTCTTTTTTCTTTTTTCTGTTAATAGACTGATTGTCGGAGAAATGTTTCAAATAAACTTTTGTGCTGAAAATTCCCATTTATTTCAGTTCTTCCCGATACTTTAACATTTTATTTTTGTTATTTTGACATAATACAATACCAATATATCTTTATTTCTTTTCCTTAAAATGATTTTTGTTCCTTTACATTTTTTTAAATTTATTTTTATTTCTCTTTGTTATGTGAAATTTTTGGAATTTTCTATTTATTTATTTTTTTTGTGGAAATTATAAAAATAGTTTCCATATGGTTTTTTTTCTTTTTTCTTACGAAACTTATGTTTTTTTATATAGTTTCCCTTTTGCATAAATTTTCTTAGAAATTCTAATAATTAATCTTTTTTAACATTTGATTAATTTTGTTGCATAAAAATATAGTAAAATTTAAATCGTTTTTTTTTTGTGACATGTTTTTTTTCCTATATTACTTTTAACATATTCACTTCCGTTTTTTGTTTGGAAAAATATAAATACTTTATCGATTGTTGCAAGTGTTTTTCATTGGTTAAAATCAAACGGAAAAGAAATAGATTAACATTAAAAAAATTGCTTCTGTTTCCTTCTAAATTTTTACTTTTTTTAAATTAATAAATTAGCACCAGCAATTGATCATTAATGTTTGTCTTTAGATTCAATGGTTTTTCTTTTGATTCTATTTTCGTTAAAATTTTTCTAATTTTTTACCCTGGATTATTTTTATCTTCTTTTTTTTTGATTAATTGATTGCTAATGATTTTTGCTCACTGTCCTGATTGGTACTTCAAAGCTTTGAAATACGTGGATATTTCTAGAAATTTCCCTTCCCTACCGGAAGTTTCTTCTAGAGTTCATAAATGATATCATTTCGTATACAATGCGCATTGCACCAAACGATATCATTTATGAACTCTTAAAGAAATCGTAAAACTTTTCAAATAGGAAAAAAAAAAAAGGTGCTGCTAGGTCCCTCAAATGGCGCAAAAAAAAAAAGAACGATCTAATTTAAAAGTATCGATGAATGTATAAAGAAAAGGAAAAGATGAATGATTTAAAAGAAATCAGAAAAAAGTGAATATTGATTACAACGATTATTTCTGCATCATTATAATATTAAGTGATAATTGATTCAAATGTTTAACTATTAAGCAAAAGAGGGACGAAGTCAAATTTCATTATAAATTAACAATTTATCAGCATATATTGGTTTAATTACTTATTGAATTTAAATGAAGTTAATTTAAAAGTAGAATGAATATCTGTGTGAGAACTGAAATAATATAACCAGGTAAGGAATAGACAATACCAGAATTAATATTTCATGAAAGTGCATGCATTTATCATTTTTATGAATTTATTAAACACGAAGTACAATAGTGTAATCGTAAAGGAAGAATTAAATTTTGATAAAATTACAAATTGCAAAAGATTGCGTAATATCAAGAGAAGGAAAAAGATAAATGGTTTAAAAGATGAATTAATGAAAAGAAATAAGAGAAGCTAATTATTAGTTAATCAAAATTTGCAGAAATAATATGAGGGAATATTTCTGTTGTCTAAATGAAATAATTCAACTTCTGAATTTATTTATTCAGATGCAAGTATGAATTTAGGATTTACAAATTAAACAAAATTACAACTTTTTCCGTTTTTTTTTTTTCGCAAAATACAAATAAACTGTTGCATATATTTTCTACGCAATCTGATTCTGAATCATCTGGTAAAAAGTGAAAACACAAAATAAAGGTAGTCTGGTTTGAAATAAATGTCAGCTGTTGCATGTATACCTTGTAATATGTTGGAATTGTGTATTGAAGTACAGCATAACTTTTTAGATAAGTTTAGGTTTGAAATTTAATGACAGCTGTCGCATATATAGTTTGAAATTTAGTGACAAAAAGATCCTGTCACTAAATCTTCCAAGAATTTTTCAAAAAAAAAAGAAAAAATACATATATATCAATTAATTTACACCTGTAATCACCCTATCATTTCCTTTTTCCTTGTCTAATTAATCCGAAATAACATTTGTGCATAAAAGCACTTTCTGAGATTTGTTACTTTTTGAATGGTTGTAAATATTTACTGTTTGATCATAAATTAAGCAAAAGTTTATAGTGCATGAAGTAAAAATGAATTCTCTCATCATTGCAACAAATGACATTTCGTGTTTATTTATTTCCTGCTGTGATATGTATACACAAGTCAGATTGATACTTCTTCACTATTAAATTATTCTTTAAGAAACTTATCCTGGCTAAACACTAACTCCACCAGTATTAATTAGCATTAATTAAATGCTAATGGAAGACTAAATGATAATGAGAGAAAATGATGAGAGACTAAATATGTAACCAAGAAAAAGTCTTCATTATTGATTAATTCAAATAATAAATTCAAAATTTTGGCAAGATGATCTTTTAATGATCAAGTATTACATAGGTTTCCATTTTCGAAGCCAATTTTTGTAGTTTGATTGTAATTTAGATTTGTTCATTTGTCAAGAAATTCGTTATCTTGTACCTTATCACTATATCATAATAAGGAACTAGGTACTTATCAGTTCAGTAGTGTTTAAAATTAAATGGAATACAATTTGCATTCATCCATGATATGTTGAATAATGTGGATTCGAACGCAAAATAGACACACTGATGGTTGAGTAATATGGCGATCTTTTTTATATATCCAAACACTTAGTATCTTTCACGGTACGTGACAGTTTGTGATATCTGTCGTGACAAATAACCTTTCTTAGTAGTCGAGATCCGTTAGGATTTGTATTTGATAAAAAATGATAGCATATTAATCACTTATTATAATATAATTAAATAACTAATTATTGATAAAAAATTGGAAAGATTCTTTGCTACCAATTGTTTCTGAAACACATTTCTGGATGGTTGACTTGCGCAGCTTATGAGAACGACAAGTTATAACGAATTGAATAAATTCAAAATATTATGAGGTGTTTATTTCCAACAATTTAATTAAAAAAATATTAAAGAACAGCATTATTTAAATTGAAATTGCTTGAAGAATTGATTAAAGAATTATTTAAAAATTAAAGATAAAATCAATCTAACCTGTACACATTTTATTGGTAGATTTATCTCTCCACACTTCTTACTTATTTCATTTGTGGCATACAAAAAGAAAGCGTTTGGATTTAAATTAAAATCCTCGAAATTGGAATGGGAAAGGAAAGTTTCACTTCGGTCAATGGTAGTAGCATACTGGCACCATATATTAGGTTATTTCCTAATTTCCCGAGAAAAACCTATAAAAACTACGTGACGTGTTGGTTGAGTAGTTAGACGTTACCAGAAAAACGTCACGTTTGTCCATAAAATTTGTATAGCCAATAAAATCTTGCCAATAAAACCATCGACAATCACCAAATTATAAATGAGGTCATTGCCATTGTTTTCGTTGTTGTCATTTGTCAACCGATAGTTAATATATTATTTTATTCCGTTCAGTTTTGCTTTTTCTTTTTCCAAAAAAAATTTTCAAGATAGAAGATAGTTTTGGAAGGAATGTTAAAAACTGATTTAGAGAAGGGACTAGAAAGAAGCTTTCGAATGTTTCAGTTTGTTCATTAAAAAATGCTTTAATATTCTACTCTCTTCAATTGAAGAATTCAATTCTTCCTTCCTTCTCATCATTTTTTTCTTTTTTTTCCTTCTCATCATTTTTTTCTTTTTTTTTTTTTTGAAAATCATTGTTTGTGTGGTCCATTACTTTCTTTTCATCTCATTTAAATTAGTGACAAATTTCGATTTTCTTTTCCTTCTTCAGTTTAAAAGTAGCAGCACTAACAGTAACATATATTTTTTGCATAAAACTGTTATGACACGCAGTTCTACCCAATCATTACTGCCGGTTAAATTAGACCTTTTGAGAACATTACAATAACCTGGTATTTCGCAACAAAATCTAACAGTGATGATAATTTCGACTGGTATGCATAATATTGTTTCATTCTATCGAAAGTCTAATTGTTCCAAACAATCCTTTCTCATCTTCATTTGAACAATCTCTGATATCGGCAGTAAAACGCCAGGCGCCACTTCCAATCACTCATTCCATAAAATCTGTAATCTGTACAACCCATACAGAGTAAACTATCCGCGATATTCTACTATGAAAGTTTTTAAGCGCAATTTGCCTACGAGACGAGACGGAGATAACAAGTTAGTAAACTGCACGTGGGTTAAAGGTAAATTGTATGCGAAGTATATGTGATATATTCTTTTTACTCCCACATTTCATAAAATTTTTCTCTTCATCAGTTTCATCTTCAGAATATATTATACCATATTTACGATCTTGAAGAAATCTGTTCCATAATGGTATTTTCGAAAATCTTTTTTGATTCATAGAACACTTTGCTATCTCTGAAAATTGGATTTCAACATTCTAATTTCTTACTCTCACGAACAGCATCACGGCCTCTTCACTCTTCTGCGATCTCAACTGTACTCCCATATCTGTGCTCGTTTCGGCAATGACGATGATGAAGTGATTACAATGGTTCTTATCGATAATTGACTGCATCTAAAAATTTGCTCATCTCAAGTAATTGGTCAGCAACATGCATGAGAGAGTGGACATCACATGGAGGTCACTACTCGTTTGCATCTTACACGTGTATGCGTGTACATGTGTGTGGTTATGTATACGTATATATATATATATATATATGTTTGAATAGTTTTACTGTATTTGCTGCGATGCCCTTTATTTCTTTAAATCTTCCGCTTTGTCATCCCTGTCCTTTTCGTTAGTTTACACTGCGGAATTGTGCATTACAAACAGAACAATTGTCTTTATAACCGCTATTTGCATTGCTGTAATCGTCATTCTTAATGATTCCCATCGTTTTCTCATTTTCATTATTACTTCTTCCATTCATTTTTTCATATATCTTATCAGCACGATATACGTCACCTTCAGCGCTATCCTTATCTTTATTATCGTCATTTCAGGTTTTGCATTATCACCTTTTGAGAGTTTACCGGATCAGACAACAGGCAAACATATGAAGAGAGAAAAACAAAAAGACAAGGAATAAGTAGACATCAATGTTATTATGTGCAAAATGTTAATTGCTCCGGTCTTACCGTAAGCAAGAACCAAGTAGCTGATGAGCCAATTCTCATTTCCATTCGTGACGTTACTACTGTAATTAATATCGTTATGATTACGGTTCTCCCACCATTATTTTGTCGTTTCGAAAGAGCCCTATCAAGATTAATATTAATATGAAGATGAAATTTTGTTTGCAAGTGTAATTAAATGTATGATTAAGGAATTATGTATTGCGATGTGTATTCTTGCTGTAATTTCAAACTACAAACTTCCATATTTCTTACTTTCGGATTTCATAGTTAGCCAAGTTTTGAAGTGAGACAAGTTTTTTCTTTATTCCTTCAGTGTCAGTAGGTAAGCAGTTTCCTTCACAGATTTCCACCACCTAATGTGACCAAGCTCCGCTAATGATAATTGACGTTCGCTTTTGAAGTCACAATTGCACAGCATTATTGAAAATCTATCACATGTTACTATTGTGCTGCTACTACGATTGATCCTATGGAAATACTTATAATCCATGCTTTATTTGTTGAAGAGGGAAGTTGGGGAAGGAGAGAAGTTGTAATTCAGTGGTTACTCCTAGTAAGGTGCCAAAGAGTAAATTTTCAAATGTGACGACTATAGATGGAAATTGTAGATGACCATCGCAAAGTACACCTGCACTGTGAAACATTGAGTATTATTTAACTATAATATGGAATGAAATGCGCTATATTTATGCCAAGGCATGAAAAGGATGTGAAAGTGAAAAAAAAGTTGAGCGTTACAGTATGATCTAATATAAATTCGAGCACACTGACCGCTCATCTATGAAAAAACTGAGACTTGTTTAAAACAAATGAATTATTTGCCACAAACATAACCACCTAAATGTTTTCATCATGGGGAAAAAAAAATCGGATCATATTTTGATAGAGGATTACGCAAGATATGGAAGCTTCAACTGAGGGGAAATAAAATAATAAAATATCAAGGAAATTCCTGGTTATAAAAAATTTCCCGTCATATGGCATATGTGTTACAACAAAGTGGAATGTTAAATCAATCTTAGTTCTTAAAACACCTAATTAATCGACAAGAAATAAATGGGGCAGATTATATTTACGTCTAATATTTACTGATTGTCTTTTTTTTTCAACCTTTTCAATTTCCGTTGGGAAGTCAAAGTCGAGAGCCGAGATTTGGGAGTCGAGATTTTTTTTTTCATTTGGGAAGTCAAGATCGAGAGTCGAGATAATCCTTTTAGTAGAAAAAATAGCACTGACTTCAGAAAAGTGTCTTGAAGAAAAGATGGAATTAAACGTTTACTTTTAAATGACATTTTTGGCGTTGCCCTTTCAACAAATAATGAAAACATTGATAGATACTGCTGACAAAAAAGATGAAATTTTAGGTAATAATGGTATGATAATAGTAATAATGGTCAGTCACATTATAATAATGGTCACATTTTTCGACCATTGTTTCTTCCTTATTATAGTAATTCTTCTAATATAATGCTCCTTTTTTTCCATCTCCAGTTTATTTCTTTAAAGATAATAAATGACTTTTACGAGAAGTATCTTTAGACAGTGTTCCTTTCTAGTTTCACTTTCTATACAAATGTCATTTGTGGTATTTTAAAATATTGTCTCCTTCAGTATTTGCTTGTATTGTTTCGCTATTATTCATTTTTAGTTACAGGCAAGCCTACCACTGTAGGCTTCTGAAGACGCATAAATAAGAGTTAAAAAAAAAAAAAATGCAACCTAATATGCCATGATAGTATGCAACATCTGTAGCAAAGATTTGTATTAAAGAAGGATTCTTGCATGCATGCAACTTAAATGGTCACTCTATTGGTCATTGATGAATGATTATTTCTAGTTGAAAATTACTTATTTACATATTTTACCAACTTCAAATAGTTGCATCGTTCGGACGATAATTTCTATTTTAATTATTAAATTACTAGCGCGAAATTTGAATATCATTTATTGATTCGTCCGCGCATTTGTCTCTGGAATGTTATTAGTACTCTTGCTATATATGGATTACTGTTGCATCATTTACGTTTCAGCCAATAAGGAATGGATCTTCCCATCTCTCTTCCTTGCTAGATTCTTTTTTTTTCCCCATCCGTTGTTTACTAGCAAAACATTTATGGGTTATCATTCATCTACAGTATTTGTTTACTATTAAATCAGAAAATCCGAAACCACTTTTCATATTTTACCGATGTTTAGCTGTAACATTGATTGACAACATTTGCATTTTTCCCTCCCTTTTTGGTTATCCATACTAGCCGTCTGTATTGTAATAGACAAAGGCCTATTGTGGTCGTGCATTACCTATTACTGTACCGTCTAGAAATTCTACTGTAGATTCTCCTTGTTATTATATATATTTACACACATATTATCTTTCCTAGATGTTGTAAGCCTTTTCTCTTGTTTGCCACATATAAGGTCCCATATCTCTAGTTTATGTTCATCGTTCTTCATTCTTCTGGCTTCATCCATCCAAGGCATTAATCCTACCTTCTACGATTCATCTGTTTTTACTCTTTATTCATCCCAAAGTTCTTTTTTCTTTCCTCTATTATTTAACTTCTTATTAGTTATTGTTCTGAATATTTCCTTAGCTAATAAATCATTTTGAATCCGCTGCTTGTGGTCACAACTCAGAGTTCACATTTCATTGTAATATCTCATTGAAGGAAGTCTTTGTAATCATGACAAATTTTTCGCAACAATATCATCCACATTGGATGTATTACTCTATCTAATGGACTTTCATCCGATAAACCAGAAAGAAAATTGAAATCAAGATCGAATTTACACTTTTTTTTACAGAAATTATCTTTTTTTTGGCGGGTTAAAATTTTATTCAATATTTTAATGTATCTTTCCTTCATGACATCGCCAATAATCAGAAGGGGAAATTAATCGAGGTGGAATTTATACTTTTTTTTTACAGAATTTGTTTACTTTAACTTTTCAAATCTGTCAAGTAGTATGGGTAGAACGCTGCTTAGGCTTTTGAAGCAAGTTTTTCAAATGGTTTATAATCAAATTAAATAGATATATCAAGAAAATGCGACATTCATTTCGATATCGGGCAAAAAACTATGACAATGAACAGTTCTTGTAATTGTCCAGCATTTAGCGACTAGAATTTTCTATCTTCATCCTTCCCCTTCATCCAAAATTCATGCATATATGTGATGAATTCTCCTGCTTCTAGGGTACGGTAATTTGTATGACTACACATGCTTCGGTGTTAGCACAAACATAACACACATACATACATAAACACAAACAGTAGTCTTTGTTCATTTTGTCTATAGGAAAATATTGCGCTTACATTTCAATAGCTCTAAATTATGCAGATAAATCGACGAAATCAGATTATGATGGACGAAATACTTCGAATTGTATACCAGCAGAAATTAGCAAAACGGTGATAGGAAGGCATCGATCGGATGTTGACAGAAAAGATAATTCGAAGGATTGAAGGTAATTTGAAGTTATTTTGTACATTTAGGAATATTATTTTGCAAATATTAAGTAAATAGAATAAAAGTATATTAGTTTTATTCTTGTATTGTCTCAGAATCCTAAAGTAACCATCCTCTTGTTATAATTGTTTTACAAGAGGATTTCAAGCAACAAGCTTCCTTGCAATTTCTTCCATCATCTTCAATGCTTTTATATAGCTCATGAGAGATAGTTGTAAAATTGTATCAGATTGTCAGATATGAAGTGATCTGAACAAATCGTCAATGAAATATTTTTTGTCACTACAATTGGAACAGTAGTTCAATGTCGAACACATATATTTCAAATCCTTTTGTCTTGAATTAACTTCTGTTCCCTGCAAGTGTAATATCAAGATCTGTTTTTTTTTTTTCATTAAGATTTCTGAAGTAACAGATAAAGTGATCGAAGAAATCTTGGGAATTTCTTTTTGAGCGATATAACGATAGAAGCATTTATTACGGAATAGTTGCAATTTACAGTTATCACATTTCAATTTATACTGTCAATATTCTTATGCATATTTGTTGTTTATGAACTTTTGTTTATCCTATGAATATTTATAGAATACTTCCAGAATTCTGAAATAATTTAATGTTGGAGGGTATTTTCAAGAAATTTAAACATCATGTCTTCTCTCCAGTAATACTTTTCAAAAGGAAAATTGTTTCACATCTTAACATCATATAATTTCGTAGGTATTAAATATCGGATTCTTTTCCAATATCCTCCAAAGTGGCATTGCATTTTTAATCGAACTACTAGTAATGGCAGTACAGCAAATAATAGCAGTATGTGTCAAAGCTTTTGACTGTTTAGTCAGTTTACTTTTAGCTCTTAATTTTTTTTTTTACCTCAGATTGTTGGATAAATTAGCTAATTTGTTCAGTCATGTGGTGGTTGTAGGTGTTTGTTCAGCTTAACCCTTTGGCTTTCTTTTTTTTTTAAACAAAAATTGAGTGCTTGCATGATTACGCGATAGAGACACACAGCAACCAGCAAAACGAAATGATACTATTCATAAGACAAAAGGTTCTAGTACGGCAGTTATTAATCAAGAACTTGCTGTCAAAAAGGTACTGATGGAGCAGGACAGGGCTTGCGACCTTAGTTTTTAGGGATGCCGAATCACCCGCATTCAGTTCTGATCCTGAAGAGAAATAAAAAATGGTTAAAGTCATTTCTTAGTCGCATTCAACCAAGTTTAGCACTACCGAACGGTTGGGGGTCATTCGGCGTTACATGAACATTCATGTTGTTTAAATTTATATATAAATTCCCTGTCATCGAACTGTCAGCCAACAAATATTTTCTTGACGATCCTGTTAATACCTGGTCTATGAGTGATAATGTCGTTAAGAGATTGAATAAGTTATGACACTGTCTCGGATTTATCTGTGCGAGCTTTTTGTTCTGGATTAAAAAGATTAGAATTTGAAAGAAAAAACTTTCTGGAATTATTCCAAAACTTCTTTCAATGTCTCTCGGCGCTAAGATATCAGTTCAACTTTAACTACTTCTTCAGCTGTGAAGCTTTTATTCGTTTCATATTTCAA